CTTAGGGCCACTGAATTAGCCAGGCAGCAGATGAGTGTTTCTTGTGAAGGACAGCTCGTCTTGTTGTGGCCCGTTTACAGGACGGAGGATGAACACAGAACACAAAACACAAACTTAGAACACAAGGAAAAACACAGACACACATACAAACGGTTGACTCGAGTAATATACTGGGTCAGTTTTATTTTTATACTCTAAAAAATTAAAGTTAGTTCCTTGTACGTAACCACCCAGGCGTGGCAGCGATAGCCATAAATTCCGGAATGGGTAGCCTTAGGGAAGCAGATATCCCCTGACTCAGAAATTCAAGGTGGTTGCTCTAGGTGGTAGGCATAGATCACGGACTGAAATTAGCAAGGATGGGCAAGGTGAGCCACAGGGGGCGTTTCTCATCCCCAGCTTCTATTAACTCCAGCGGCTGTGCCTGGCTTAGGTCGCCCCTCCCTTGAGGGGTCTTACCCGTCATTGACTAACTAGCCATCTTATGGGGTGTTTATTGAGTAGCCTCCAGACCCCTAATGCCATGGGGTGGGGCCACTCTTGCTACTTGCAGCTCAGGTCCTTTGTTATGCCTCTAGGCAGCACCTTTGTTTATCACAAGGACCCTGTCCTGAACACATTACTTTCAAACACTCTGGACAGAACACGTACATTACTCACTAACTTTAATTCTTAAACTAGGAAAATATGTGTCAGTCCCCTACACGTCTGGCCTCGGCCAACTCTGAGGTCCTAGCTCTTCGCCAGCAGTGGCACCGCATGCAGCCCCTTCTCTGATGCCCAGCCTGTCCCGAGCTCCGTGTGACTGCCACTTATGCACTCAGGTGTCACAAAGAGCAGCCAGATTCGGCCGCCACCCAGTGAGCGCTCACGATCAGCCTGGTGCTGTGTGAGGACGTTGACAAAGAAGAGAGTGGTGGTGGCAGTGGAGACGCTGATGCCAGGCATGGCGTGTCACTGATCATAGTAGCAGACGTGAACCAGGTCCATGTGGGTGCCCCCCAACCTTCTGAGTGTTTTAGACACACGAATTCCTATAATCCTCACAGCGCCACCGTGCGGTAGGAAATGCTGTTTCCATTCACACAGCAGGACATTGAGGATCAGAGAAGTTAGGTCGCTTGCCCAGAGTTGCAAAGCCTGTAGGAGGCAGAGCTTTATTACTGTTCTTCCATATGCAGATGGAAATCAGCCCTGCCTTCGGGGACCTATGATAATCGAGCGTGCTGTTTGCAGTAAGAGCAACGCAAGATGATGATGATGACAATGGTGATGATACGCTTATTTAGCGTATGCTCGATGCCAGAGACGCTTCCAAGCATTCTGCGTGCATCTTCTCGTTGGATTTTCCCAACAGTTCTATAAAGTTGGTTCTTTGGATCCCATTTTATAGATTAAGAATTAAGAAGTCCAGCCCCAAACTGGTTTAAGTTATTGATTAAAGCTCATGTGCAAAGTAGCGGAGCAGGAGCAGGATTTGAGCCTTTTTTTTTTTTTTAGACAGAGTCTTACTCTATTGCCCAGGCTGAAGTGCCGTGGCGTTATCATGGCTCACTGCTACTTCACACTCCTGGACTCAAGTGATCTTCCTGCCTCAGTCTCCTGAGTAGTTAGGACTACAGGCATGCGCCACCATGCCCGGCTAATTTTTCTATTTTTAGCAGAGACGGGGTCTCTCTCTTGCTCAGGCTGGTCTCGAACTCCTAAGCTCAAAAGATCCGCCCCCCTCAGCCTTCCAGATTAGTAGGATTACTAATCCTACTAATTACTAATCCTACTAACAGGCGTGAGCCATCGTGCCTGGCCAGATATTCAGTCTTAAGCCCCTCCTAAGGCCCAAAAATTCTGGAATGGTCCCTGTTGACTGGTTTTAGGCTGGCAGAAATACCATGGAGCTGATGTTTCCACTGACTGTTTAGGAATAGAAGTGTGAAGGGACTACTGTTGGCCAAGAGTCCTTTTCAGTGGTTTAGGTCAAATAGGACATGGAGTTTGCATTCTGGGTAGCAGCATAGCCAAGAATCCTTTTCTGTAAAGAGCAGGTAGAGAAATAAGACATTGAAACACCCACAGTACCCAAGGGCTCCCCAAGGTGGAGACCAAGTTAATTGGACCTGTAGCTTGGAAGATCAGCCCTCTTGACATTTTTTTCCATTAACAGGACCTCCAGGCCTTTGAGATACCCCCACTACTGGTCAGATAATTACCTGGCTGATCTGCCCCCTGTGCTGGGACCCCACAGAGTTATTCTCATTTGCAGCTCGGTTTCCTCTGGCCAGCCACCAGCGCCTTGCGATAAAAGCATCGTGTCGATGGAGAGAACTCGTGTCTGATCCTTGTCTGTCTCGGCTCAAGACCCTGCAGCGGCTTCTGCTGCCCTTAGCGCTAAGACTCAGTCTTGTCTTTTTTTTTTGAGACAGAGTCTCACTCTGTCTCCCGGGCTAGAGTGCCGTGGCGTCAGCCTCGCTCACGGCAACCTCAATCTCCTGGGCTCGAGCTATCCTTCTGTTTCAGCCTCCCGAGTAGCTGGGACTACAGGCATGCGCCACCACACCTGACTAATTTTTTCTGTATATTTTTAGTTGTCCAGCTAATTTCTTTCTATTTATTTTTAGTAGAGACGGGGTCTCGCTCTTGGTCAGGCTGGTCTCGAACTCCTGACCTTGAGTGATCCTCCCACTTTGGCCTCCCAGAGCGCTAGGATTACAGTCAAGAGCCACCTCACCTGGCCAGACTTGGTCCCTTAATTCAGCCTAAGAGCTGAATCAGCCTCCTACTTCCCCATCTTGGCCCCCCTCCCTCGAGTTCTTGTATTCCCACTGATAACACTCTCTTTCCGGAACACACTTCTTCCCTGGTCTTAGCCTGGCCAGCTCTCCTTCATCCTGCAGAGCCTGCCCCAAACCCCTAAATACCACTTCCTCTGGGCATCCTGTGGAGACCTGGGCGTGGACAGCGACTCCCTACAGCGCCCTGGGCCTGCCCGTGCACCCACTCATTGTTCTCTAATTACCTATTCACATGCCGCCTTGGCCCCCTGGAATGATTCTTACCCCGTGGGCACAGGGCTGCTCCAGTGTGACATCCTGCATCCCCGCGGCCCCACGCCTGGTGCTCAGCAGGGACTTGGCAAATAGCAATCAAATGGGAACCTGGAGCAAGGGGTTGAGAGACGGGCTGGCACGGCCAGTGGGTGGGCGCTTTGTAAATGGTGCAGCACTCAGTGGTGGCTTTCCTGCAGACTGTGCTCCACCTGCAGGACTGTGTCCTCTGGGGGAGTTGGGGACGAATCGAGCCCCGCCTGTTTCACCGGCCTGTCCCAAAAGCAAAGAAAGTGTTCGCTATGAAGCACATTGGCGGGTCAGGCGCAGTGGCTCACGCCTGTCATCCTAGCACTCTGGGAGGCCGCAGCAGGGGGATCACTCAAGGTCAGGAGTTCCAGACCAGCCTGAGCGAGAGCGAAACCTCCATCTCTACTAAAAAAAAATAGAAAGAAATTAATTGGACAACTACAAATATATAGAAAAAATTAGCCGGGCATGTTGGCGCATGCCTGTAGTCCCAGCTGCTCGGGAGGCTGAGGCAAGAGGATCTCTTGAGCCCAAGAATTTGAGGTTGCTGTGAGTGAGGCTGACACCACGGCACTCACTCTAGCCCGGGAAACAGAGTGAGACTCTGTCTCAAAAAATGTAAAAATAAAATAAATAAAATAGCACATCAGAGGAAACCCAGAGAAACGCGCAGTGACACACTTTTTATGACTTGGGCGTGTTGCCTCTTTAAAACTCTGCTCCAAAGCCAATTATTTCTTCCCTCCTTAGCCCACCTCCCCGCACCTGGAAAACCTGGCCTGATTAACTCTGCGTTTAGCTGGGCTGCCTGGACGCTGGCCTCGTTTTTTTTTTTGTTTTTTTTTTTTTTTTTTTGCAGAGCAGGAGGAATCTTTGCTTGAGCACAAGTCAGAGCCTGCTTTGGATTTTTCTAGGGGCTTCTCCTTGCAGTCCCAGTTAACCCTTGCTGTGCCGCTGCCTGCCTCCTGTCATTGCCCCTGTGCTTGTGCCCTTCCCAACCCCGGCACTGGACCTGAGCTTCCTCTGGGCCACCTGGCACTTGCCGGGCATCTACCCCACAGACCAAGGGACTGTAGGATCTCCTGCTGGGGTTCCTGGGGACATCTGAAGGACTCAGGGGCCTGGAGAGTGATAGGAAGGAGCTGCCTGGGTAAGAGGACTGGGCAGACGTGTGCTGGGCGACTGGGGTGAGGCGTGGCTTCCTGTGTCGTTTATGTCAGAAGCTTTTGGAGGGATCTGGGGTTGGGATGGGATTGAAGGAAAAGCTGGAGAACCAGATTTGGGGACAACCTGGGGATCTGGGCGGGGGACCCTACGCACAGGATCACGTGGGCGTGCCTGCTGGGCTGTGCCGGCCAGTCTGTGCGTCCCTGGTTGAAAGTGCAGGCTGACAGCACCGTTGCCCCAGCTCGAGTCCCACAGCCAGCCCTGGCCAAGACAGCAGGAAGCCCCTCACCGTGACTGTCTGTTAGGGAGAGGCGATTTCCCAAAGCAGAGTTGGGGTGTTGTTAGTGCAGGAAGGGGTACAGGAGGGGCTCTCCAGTGGCTGTTCTGCCCCTGCTCCTTTGAGAGACTTAAGCACATGTCCTCAGAGCACCCAGGGTCCCCTCTGTGTGGGTGGCGTTCTTGGAGTAAGGCTGGACGTCTGTGACTTCTGTACGTTGCTCTTCGAAAGCATCTCGAACCACCTCTGCAAATCCGTCCTGCTGCCGGTTCCAGAATGCAGCCCGCGGAAGGGGCCTTGCCTGGGTTGGGACAGGGTGGGAAAAGGTGTGGGCTGGGACTGTCCCTCTGTCATCGGGCACCTAGAACAGGTGGCCCGGTTCTCCAGAAACCACGCAGAACCGAAGCAGAACTCTGCACCAGGCTCTGGCTCCCCAGCTCCGCTACCCTCTGTCTTCTAACTCGGCTGGTTTCTCGTTGCTGCAGAAAAGAACACTTCTGGAATGATTAGCCGCCCCGCCCCGGGCAGGATGGAGTGGATCATCCCTCTGATCGTGGTGTCAGCCTTGACCTTCGTGTGCCTCGTCCTTCTCATCGCTGTGCTCGTCTACTGGAGGTAAGTAAGCCAGGCGGCGCCCACAGAGCACGCCGGGGCCGGGGGCCCACAAGGGGCAGCCCGCAGCCGCTGCCTTCAGGAAGGTGGGGTAGCTGGAATGTGTCTAGTGCCACCTCCTGGGAGACCCTCTTGTCCCTGGAAGGCGCTGCAGGCCAAAGCTGCCTTTGAGGTCAAGGCCTGCACGGTGAGTATCTGGGATTTAGTACTACCCAAGAGGCTTTTGCTTGAGAATCCAGAAACTTCAGATCCCAGCTCTGCTGGATTCAAATCCCATGTCCACCTTGAACTTCAGTTTCTGGCCCTGCAAAATGAGTTAATGAATTCCACATTATTTCCAGTGTCTCTGAGATGCCGCGTTCCTTGGTTGTAGCCACATAATTCCTCCTCTTGACCTTACAATTTTGTTAGAGCCTTTTGCTGAAAATTAAGCTTCACCAGTAAGAAACAGGTGTTGTATTTTCATCTCTCCCTCTCTCTCTTCTCTCCATTTGCTCAATTCATTTTGAGCTCCTACTGTATACACTGGTGATACAAAAGTGAGCGAGACAGATAAACATCCTTACTCTCAGAGAGCTCATATTTTGGTGGAGGAGATGGGCAACAGACAAAGTGAATGTCTAAAGCGTGTACTTTCTGAGCTGGGGTTAAGTGTGTAATAGGGAAAACTCACTCTGGAGAGGGGCGAGGCATGCGGGGGCTCAGGGCCGGGTGTTGAGAGTGATCAGGGAGTGCCCAACTGAGACGTGCTGTGTGAGCAAAGACCTGAAGGAGGAGGGATCCAAATGGGCCCCATCTGGGGTGAATTCCAAGCAGAGGAAATGGCACGTGCAAAGGCCCTGAGGCAGGAGCATGTCTGGTGTGTTCCGGGAACAGCCAGGAGGTTGTTTGGTGGCTGAGCACGTGGGTACAGGGGGAGAGTGGTAGAAGAGGGTGTGAGATCAGGAAGGGATAGGGCAGAGGAGGATCAAGTCACGTGCAACTGGACATGGGGTCTCTGGTAATGCATTGTCTTCTTCCTAAGATGAGCGGGGACAGGCACCGAAGGGTATCGTGGTTTGACTTCAGGATTACCTGACTGCTGTGTTGCACACAGACCTAAGGGGACCAGGGGCAAAAGCAGAGACTGCTGGGAGACCACTGAACTAGCTCAAGAAAGATGTCATTGTGGCTCAGACAGGGGCGCAGTGCAGTTGGGGAGGATCAGTTGTCTATAGAAATATTTCGAAGGTGGGAGCAAGAGTCTCTGCTGACAGCCTGGCTGTGTGTCGTTGGGTCTGTTCTCAATTAGCTGGATCAGGGAAATAAAGAAGGGGGGCATTTTGGACTTCCCCAGTTGTCTGACAGTAACCTTAGGATTGTTAGTACTGCAGACCAGCTAGAGCAGGCGTCCTCAAACTACGGCCCAAGGGCCACATGCGGCCCGCCGAGGACATTTATCTGGCCCGCTGGGTGTTTTTGCTGCCGCTGCCTGTCCTGCTTAGCAACCAACTCGTCCTGGGCCCACAGTGCGCACGTGTGGAATGTGGGCGGCACTCTCCAACGGCCCTCCAACGGTCTGAGGGACGGTGAACTGGCCCCCTGTTTACAAAGTTTGAGGACCCCTGAGCTAGAGTATGAAGTACCTCGTGTTTTGGGGTGAGCACAAGGCCATCGGCCCCACCTCTGTGTCATCCCTTCTCCAGGAAAAAGTGGTTTGCAAACATATGTGTCTGGAACCTCTTGGAAAACTGAAGGCCACCTAATGCGAGTTTAACAGAGCATGTAAAATGACAAAGGTCTGTGTGCCCATCTGTTGGTTCTGCTTGGTGCTGGGTAGTTTTTGTCTTGGACTCTCCCCACAGAGGATCAGGGAGGGGGTCCCACAGCTGCCGCACGCTGAGTGATACCAGGTCCGCATTCCCCACAGAAAGCACACCTTGGACCAAGCAGTTGTAGCAAAAAGTCTCAGGGCTGTTTCTGATTGAGCTGGAGACTTCTACCCTCTATGACCAAGAAGGACCATGTGGCTGAGCAGGCCTAGATACCAGGCTGGCCAACAAAGCATGAGTGTTCAGGGCGAGGTTCTTGGAGAAAACAGCTGTGTCATGTAATAAAGACAGCTCTAGAATCTTCCAATTCAAGATGTATTTTACCAACTAGTTTTTTTGTTTGTTTGTTTTTTGAGACAGAGTCTCTCTCTGTTGACCCGGTTAGATTGCCATGAAGTCAGCCTAGCTCACAGCAACCTCCAACTCCTGGGCTCAAGTGATCCTCCTGCCTCAACCTCCCGAGTAGCTGGGACTACAGGCACACACCACCATGCCTGGCTCATTTTTTCTATATAATTTTAGTTAGCCAATTGATTTCTTTCTATTTTTGGTAGAGACGGGGTCTCACTCTTGCTCAGGCTTGTCTCGAACTCCTGACCTCGAGCAATCCTCCTGCTTCGGCCTCCCAGAGTGCTAGGATTACAGGCGTGAGCCACCTCGCCCAGCTGGCAATGCAGTTTTGAAGCTGGAAAAAAAGCACTTCTCTTCTGCATTCCAAAGCACCATAAGAGTAGGTGATTGGCAAACTGACTTGACATAAGTAGAGCACTGAGGCAGATCAGGACCTTCTGGATCATTTCCTCAGGTGGTAGGCCTGGCACCCAGGGGTTCCAGCCAGCTCCCTGTGGCAGCAGTTTCTACCACAACTGAAGATTGGTCCTTTGCAGCTATTGGTCTGCTTTCTGAGTATGCTCATTTGGGGTTATTGACTCTGATTTATTAGGTTTGTGAAATAGTGGAAACTAGACCCAAGGTCTCTGAATTCTGTCTCTGCCCCAGACTCTCACTGTACAGCGATATCAGTGCTTGCTAATGTTCAGTGAGTCCTTTTTGAGTTCCACACACTATACCCAGCACTTGGGTGACATCGTCTTGTATGATTCTTACAACAAACCTGTATGGTAGGTACTATTACTACCACTTTCTTTGACCAGGGAAGAGAGAGGGAATTCACATTTGTTAAATGCCTGCTATGAGCCAACTGGTATGCAATATCATCTACTGTGTGGTCACAGCCCTTCTCTTTTGCAGTTGACAAAAATCCATTTCAAAATGCATTAAATGGCCGGGCGCAGTGGCTCATGCCTGTAATCCTAGCACTCTGGGAGGCCAAGGTGGGAGGATCGTTTGAGCTCTGGACTTCTAGACCAGCCTGAGAAATAGCAAGACCACGTCTCTACTAAAAATAGAAGGAAATTAGCCAAACAACTAAAAATAGAAAAAATTAGCCAGGCATGGTGGCACATTCCTGTAGTCCCAGCTACCTGGGAGGCTGAGGCAGGAGGATTGCTTGAGCCCAGGAGTTGGAGGTTGCTGTGAGCGAAGCTGACACCACAGCACTCACCCGGGCAACTGAGTGAGACTCTGTCTCAATAAATAAATAAATGCATTAAACACAAGCGGGAAAAACCTTTTCATGGAATTGAAAGGATCAGAAGCATGAGGCCTGACTGGATTGAGAAGATGAAGCAAGGACACAGATGGGGACCTGGCTGGTTTGGTCTGTCTCTATTTGTCCTGCTCTCAGTCTCCGGGATCTGCTCCCCACGTGGTCTCTCTCTCAGGCAGATTTTCTGCCAACACAGTGGCCTCTGGCCACGACAGGCCTGCATCTCTCCTTCCAGTGGAAAGGGACTTTCTCTTCTCAAACTGCTCCACTTGAGTCCCAGCAAGGTGTCTCCTATGACTGACTTGGGTCATCTGTCCATCTCTAGTCTTTTGGACACCAAAGGGATGGAATGTTCTTGTAGATCCTGTGTCTTATATTTAACTGTGGAGCCCAGAAGTAGGATCAGTGCCATTGTCATCAACACTTTGGATGGAAGCCAGACAAGGGGTGGTTTCCCAGAGAACCACCCAGGCCCAGAAAGGTGACTAGTTTTAGAAGTTCAGCTAGTGTTGAATAGTATATGCTGAGTACTAGTTCAGCTAAGTGTTCTGTTATTTAGGAAGTTATAAAGCTATTCCTTTCTTTCCTCGCTCTCCTCCTTCTCCTTCCTTCCTTCCTTCCTTCCTTCCTTCCTTCCTTCCTTCCTTCCTTCCTTCCTTCTTCCTCCTCCTCCTCCCTCCCTCCTCCCTCTCCCTCCCTCTGTGTTCTTTTCTCTCTTCTTTCCTTTTTCCTTTCCTTTCCCTCTTGCTCTGTCACCCCAGGTAGAGTACAGTTGTGTCATCATAGCTCCCAGCAACCTCCAACTCCTGGGCTGAAGCCATCCTCCTGCCTCAGCCTCCCGAGTAGCTGGGACTACAGGCGCACGCCACCACGCCTGGCTAATTGTTCTGTCTTTAGTAGAGATGGGGTCTCGCTCTTGCTCAGGCTGGTTTTGAGCTCCTGACCTCAAGCAATCCTCCCTCCTCAGCCTTCCAGAGTGCTAGGATTACAGGCATGAGCCACCATACCTAGCCATAAAGCTGCTTCTATTACTGCGTGGGCATTGGCCCCATTTGCAGCTTCCTGTTCTTTATTCATTGTGTACAGAGCTCCTGCCACACCTTGTGCTTGGCCTGGTGATTCAGGGATGAAGTTCCTTGGCGCTTGCAGTCCATTGGCAGAGACAGATGAGTAAATGCAATAGCATGTGGGGAGTGTTTGGAGAAGGCTGAGCCCAAGTTGCTATAAGAGCACAGAGGCAGGGCTTCTCCCAGCTGGGAGGGGACTGGGCTCAGGAAAAGCTCCCGGAGGATCTGATGTCCAAGCTGGTCTTCCAGCACAAGCAGCTACGGGTAAGCCAGGGGACGAGGGTATGGAGCAGGCGTCCTCAAACTACGGCCCGAGGGCCACATGCGGCCCGCCGAGGACATTTATCTGGCCCGCTGGGTGTTTTTGCCGCCGATGCCCATCCTGCTTAGCAGCCGACTGGCCCCGGGCTCACAGTGCGCATGTGTAAGTGTGGGCCGAACTCACCAACAGCCCTCCAACCGTCTGAGGGACAGTGAGCTGGCCCCTGTTTACAAAGTTTGAGGACCCCTGGTGTG